TGTGGCCAGACAAGCCTGGGTGCCCCATGATCTTTGTCCCACCCTTGAGGACTGCTGGAGATGGCAGAGCCAGCTGAATTGATAATAAAGAGGCCCACTTTTCTTTGCATTTAAAATGACAGAGAAGGAAAATAGGAAAAGACATTTATTTTCTTAAAAAATACATGCACACACTGGTTCATTAATTTCTTATTAAAATTCTGTGTGAGCACAGGCAGGGAAGGGGTGAGGAAGACTCTGGGGAAGGGATGGGGAGGAGAACCGATCCACTTGTTAGCATCTACTGAGACTCAGGGGAGGGGGTGAGGAGGATGTGAAGGTAGGAAGGGGCTTCTCCATCGCCATCACAGAGAGGTGGACAGGGCCCGGACAGCACATCCCCTTTCTTCTGGCAGAGGAGGAAAACAAGGCCCAGGGAGGAGGTGAAATTCCCGGAACTATGCAGCAAACTTGATGACAGTCAGGGTTTGAACCCAAATGTCCTGCATCCCGAAGACTGTGATTTCAAACTGCTTTGGATATCATAAATTTGGGACCTTGACTCTCCTAGCAAGTGGGCTTGAAGCTTCTGACAGGAAGCTGGAGACAGGTCTGGAGCTCTCTCTCCTGTATTTAGTGCCTTGTAGTATATCGACAAGCCGATACTGGTTGATTATCTAGACTACAAGACCACAAGTTAACCCAAGGCTAGAGGGCAGACAGAGGGGTGAGGGGCGGACGTGGAACCTGCCTAGTGGCCCAGGGCTGACTGCCACTCCAGGAACAAGTCCAGGTTCTGGGGCTAGTCCTGATTCCAGAACTAGCTTGCAGAGTGACCTTGGCCAGTCCCTTCCTTTGCCTGTCCACTTCCTCATCCACACAAAGCTTGCGTTGGGTGGTTTTGTGATCGTTTGTAGTGTTGTTGACGTGCCATGCTGTATAGTGCAACAAAGTGAGACCCTCCAGGGAAAAAGGCCAGGCCCTGGCAGTGGGAGGTGGTACCTTGCAGGGCCTCAGTTTCTGCAGCAGCATTGTACTCACACCCTCCAGGTTCCAGAAAGTGCCTCGCCTCCCACTGCCCAGCACCTAGTCATCGCCAGAATGGATTCCAATAAAGCTCATTTTCTGCCAGCAAGTTTATAACACATCCCCACCTACTGGTCTTAAAGATTAACAAAGCTGTGTGGTGGCATACGGCTGCGTGTGGCCAGACAGGAGACGATGTGGGAGAAGGAAGACAGGCACAAACCCAGCAGCAAAGAAGCCAAGGCCCGGTGCACACCTGGTTTCGTGGGTTTACACAGGGGTCCAGGCTGGGCTCATCAGTGGAGTGAGGAGGAAGACACAACCTGAAGGAGAACTTGTGAGCGACAGGCTGGAGATTGTGTGCTCAGAGCACTGTGGGACACTACATTCATATGCTGGGTGACCATGTCTTAACATGTCAACTGAGACCATGTGTCTTGCACGAGCCACTCAAGGGGTATAGCACGGGCCTGCTCCTCCCTCTTGCTCTCCTCTGGTGTCTGCCTGTCTCCTCTCATCCCTCTCTGCTCTATACCCCAGGGCTCTCCCCCTTGTCCCGTTCATTCCTTCTGGGCACCTATATGGGTGAAGCACTGGAGAATGAGGCAAAAACAGCAGACATGGCTCTTGCCCTAAAAGCAAGTATGACAGATCTGGAAGGTGGCCCAGGCAAGCACCCCTGCCCACACCTTGATCATGCCAGCAAGCCAGCCTGGGAGCTGAGCCTGAAAGGCAGCACAAAGCACCAAGGTAGCACCAGAGAGTGTTCAAGTCCTTGTATGGGGGTGGAAGGCCCACTAGAGAGCTGGGTAGAATCTAGGAAGACCGATTGGAGGTGGTGAGGATTGAGACCAGCTTTGAAGGCTGGGCAAGGATTTCTGGAGCCAGATGTGTTCCAGATAGAGGGGCTGGCAGGTGTCAAAGCAAAAAGGCAGGAGAGTGGGAAGAGGAGTGACTCGAGCAGCTCACAGAGGATGTACAAGGGAAGTACCATGGAAGGGAAAATGTAGATTAGGAAAAAAATTGTGAAGGACCTTAGATGCAGGGCAAAGACTGTGTCCTTGATCCAGAAAACAGCAGGGAGCCAGCAAAAGTTACTGAGTAAGGGAGCCAGCCAACCAGCTCTCCAACAGATTCAACTACCACCCTGCTCCCTTATACTCCTATTCACAGTGAAAGTGGAAGACAGTCTCCCCCAAAGACAGAAAATGACCATTGTAGATGTTCTCTCGATAGCGCCCTGAGACTAAGAGCAATGCCAGGGACACCCCTGCATTTCTACACATTGCAGTTCTACAGGCTGCGTAGGGCCTTGAAAGGGAGAGGGGCTCTATTCACATGTGGCCCCTGCCCAGCAGTCCTGGCAGAAAGGGAGGAAGAATGAGCCAGAGGCCATACATCCTTTGAAGCTGGGGGATAGGAGGCAGGCAGCCCAAGGTCACCCTGCCCAGTGGCGCCAGGGTTAGACAGAAACCCAGGATACTTGTTCTCCCCTCTGGCTGTGTGGTCAGAATCCTGTGGTCTCAGCAGTCTGCCAGGCATGGAAAATTGAAGTTGGTCCCCACGCCCAGCATCTTGGAATAACCCAGAATACCCATTAAGAGTTGGATTGACTTGAGATTAAGGCCATGTACCTTATCCTAACAGAAGGAGGAATGGCAGGAAGTCCTGGAGGAGGATGGTCCAGGGCACATGAGTTTTGAGTTTTGCTTTGTGCTATTTCTTGATGGTGGGGCCAATTTCTGTTTTTCTGGCCTTGCCCTTTGAGGGGGGCCCCCAAGTTTTAAGCATCAGCTGGTATCCTTCCCTAAGGAAGGGGAAGGTGAGGCATGGGATGAAAAAGACTTGAGGTCTCTGTGGAGCTTGGAAAGGGAGCCAGAGGTTGTGGGGAGGATGCCCGCCTGCTCAGTGAGGTCTCACTTCCTTGAGGACCTTCTTTCAGTGGGGCCCGGAGCCCATGCATGCTGGCATTGAGCTGACACTGGCTGTGTGGACAGACAGAAGTGTAAGCCCATGGCTCTGCCCTAGTGCCCCAAGACTACCTGGCACAGAAAGCACTGGTGCCTCAGGAAAAAAGAGGCAGAGCTCACATACAGGGACCCGCAGGCAGGACACAAAGGCCAGTGGAACTAGAGCTTAGGAAACAGACAGGACTCTGAAGGGGAAGGGAGAACATCCGTTAATGTCAGGCTGAAGGATCATCTGGGCAGTGGGGATCTAGTGACAGCGTTTGAGCAGCCCAGTGACCATGGATGGGTTTGGGGACCAAGAACTCAGACAGACAAGTGCAAGAGGGGTGCCGTGCCTAGATCCAGGCCTGAGCTCTTTGGCTTCCTCCTGCTGAACACTTTACTCCTTGCCCCCAGGCCAAGTCACAAATCGGCCCCTGCAGCTCGGTTTGCAGACACGAAGCCCACCCACCCCCTCCCCATTCTCAGTCTTGCACCCTGCTAGAGATCTCTGGTTCCTGCTGCACTGCCTGCACCCCTACCCTGCTGCCTGCTGGGGTTCTGTCCAGCCCATCAGGTTAACTGTCTCGGGTGAACTGAGCACAACAGCTCCCCGAGGGTCACCCCAGCTTCCAGCAGGGAAGATCAACCCACCCATAGAAGGAGGTTAGCTTTCTTCCTCCTCCCTCCTAGCCCCAGGTCCTTACTATACCAGAGTCCATTCTTTGTCTTACTCTTTCAACCTTGAGAATGCTCCCCCGTCGGCGAGTTAGGCCCTGGTTAGAGACCTCTAGCGCTCCTGGAACACTGGGCAGGCTCCTAGGGACTAGTATATCTGGGGAAAACCTGAGCACCACGCATCGAGGGTCTTCCACCAGGGCAGAGAGCTCACTGACTTCTCCACAGAGGCCCTCTCCATCCCATCCGCGGCTCACCCCACAGCGTAGGGCATCTAAGCACCCCCTCACCCCATACTGACTGAAAAAATGTGTCCCAGGTCTGCTGTTGACACGCTGGGAGGGAACAGAGGTCTGCCTTCTTCCTCCTCTTCCCAGCAGCTCTGGCCCTCCCCCTTACTCGGCGCCCCTCGCCTCCTGGAGCGTCTCCAGCTCGCAGAAGGCCCGCTGCAGCCTCTTGGAGACTGGTCTGAGTTCCCAATGGCGGGGATGTTACTGTTCACAGACCTTCTGTCCCCCACTCGTACGCTCGCTGTCCCACTGCCAACACGAGCCAACACGCGCCCCTCCCTCTCCCACCGCTTTACCGCGGAGCCCCGGGCGAGCCTGGGGAGCAGACGCAACAGATTGCAGACCGCGAGAG